CCAGCTTTACGTGATATAGAAATTAAACCAACAAGATAAATACTTTTAAAAAAATCAGACAAGCTTTACGTGATATAGAAATTAAACCAACAAGATAAATACTTTCAAAAAAATAAGCCAGCTTTACGTGATATAGAAATTAAACCAACAAGATAAATACTTTCAAAAAAATAAGCCAGCTTTACGTGATATAGAAATTAAACCAACAAGATAAATACTTTTTGAGAACCCCCCTTTTGTGAGTTTCAAGGTTAAGTTGCCACTATTTAATTTACAACCCTCGTATGTTCTTAACTTAGCATTGTTTAGACTAAAAATTGCTTTTTAAAAATTGTCAGTTCCTATTTTTTGACATATACGAGTATTTTTGAAAGAATTGATGCTCATTTTTTAATCTTAATCAAGTTTCAAATTATTTCCTCATTGCAAAAAATAACATAAAATTCACAAATTGTCCTCCCTTTCATCAATTATACATATGCTCTTAACACATGGTTGTTTGGAATAAACGAATCCTACTTTTAAAACTTTTGATTACTCATTTCTTGAGACATATGGGTATTTTTGGAAAAAATTAATTCTCACTTTGTAATCTGAAACAAGTTTCAAATGAATTCCGCATTGAAAATATAATAAAGAATTCGCAATTTATCCTTTATTATGTTAACTATTATGCTCTTTACGTAGAATGGTTTGGACTAAAGAAATGCTTCTTAAAGATTTTGAATATTTATTTCTTCGCATCTATGTGCACTTTTGAAACATTTGACGCTTGTATTGTAATCTGAAACAAATTTCAAAGGAATTTTTCATTGGAGAAAGTTACAAAAAATTCGGAAAATATCCTCCATTATTGTAATTATATATATGCTCTTAACTTAGAATTGTTTGAACTGAAAATTGCTTCCTAAAAATTTGGGGTGCATATTTTTTCGCATCTATGGGTATTTTTGAAAAAAGTTGATGCTCCCTTTTTAATTTGAAAAAAGTTTTAAAACGAATTCCTCATCACAAAACGATTAAAAAAATTTCAAAATGTCCTCGATTTTTTTAACTTTATATATGCACTTTACGTAGCATGATTTGGACTAAACAAATGCTTCTTAAAAATTTTGGGAATTTATTTCCCCATGTATGAATTATACTCATGTATGGGTATATTCGAAACATTAGATACTTTCTTGAGCTTTTGTGGATGTACCTAAAGGGCCTGTACTTTATAAGTAACTTTATCCGGAATTTGTTACAGTGTGCATAAAAATCCGATCATCAGATCAAAAATTATTCCTGGTGTCAATTTTTTTTAGTATGTGCACTGTGATAATCAGGAAAAATATATTTTAGATTTTAAATACAGTCTCTGGCCAAATTATTAGACGCACTATAAGATTTTGGTTTGCACTCTTTTACGATCGTGTATCAATTGGTTAACATTGTAATGCAATACATTAAAAATAAATATAAATAGGAAGGACGTAAAAATTCTCCTGTATAAAAACCCATTACATGTATGTTTAAATTTAAAAGTATTGAATATGAGCTCGTGCAAAACGTGTAATTATTAAAAACCTACAGTGCGTCTAATAATTTGATCTAATTATTACAATATAATAATATAATACCTGATATAATAAATATTCTATATTTATGTAATAAATTGTCTAATTTATCCAATCGTCGAATTTATATTATATATTGTCCAATTTATCCAACCATCGAATTTATATTGTATATCTCCTAATTTAACCAAATGATACACTAAAGTAAACAAGTTCAAACCGGTTTCAGTCACGTAAAAGCAATCAAGCTGTATAGAATCCCCTGATAATTAAGATTTTACATAGAATCATATAGTGCGTCTAATAATTTTGCCAGGGACTGGTGAGTATTAGAAATATAATTAATATTAAAAAATATATTCTTATTTTTTCGGATATACTGTTTTGTATATTCTCATCTTCTACGATAATAATACGATAGATCATGTTGTTTATCGTTCTTATTTTCAGGTATTTCAATTCCCCGAAGATCATTTGACGGATCACCTTTGCCTAGTCCACGTGTAGTGAGTTTGGTGATGCATCATGATGTGAGTGAGCATGATTATGGTATATGCAATATGGTTGCTGCTTGGGGACAGATGTTAGATCACGATTTGACCAGAGCTGCTCCTTCTCTAGGTAAGATACACCATCAACCCAGTTTAGACGATATAAATAAATATCGATTTTTTTTTTCCTTCGCCATGGCCGGCCTTGGCAAGGAAGAGATTCGTTTTTAATACACGAGTGCACTGTTTTTTTTCTCCATTCACTTATGAAAGGTCAATAATTTTCTTATGTATCCCAGAAATAATTTTAATGAGGGTAAAATGCGTCTTTTTTTCCTTTAAACTGAGATGTTCTTTCTCAACTACAATGAAGATTAATATTTTGAGAAAATAAATAAACGAAATTTTTGGAAGAGAAATGTTAGTATTTTTTTTTTTTTTTTTTGCAAAAATTTCTTATTTATTTGTTGAAGAGACTTCAAATTGGAAATTTTTACTTTCGATGTAAATTCATAAATGGATAGGTAAATGGATAAATTTATAAATGTAACTTTATAAATGGATAGGTAAATGGATAAATTTATAAATGCAAATTTATAAATGGATAGGTAAATGTATAAATTTATAAATATAAATTTATAAATAGATAGGTAAATGGATAAATTTACAAATGTAAATTTATAAATGGATAAATTTAAAAATGTAAATTTATAAATGGATAGATAATTGTATAAATTTATAAACATAAATTTATAAATTGATAGGTAAATGGATAAATTTAAAAATGTAAATTTATAAATGGATAGGTGTATGGATAAATTTATAAATGTAATTTTATAAATGGATAAATTTATAAATCGATATATAGACGTTCAAAGTCTCATTTTAAATTTTTTTCCGTATGTTTTTACATAGTCTTCGAGATTTTATTTTTAACTTACCGTTTGTTTCTTCTATAATTTTAGTTCATTAGTGGTTAATCGTAGCTTTGAGTTTATGAACGTCAACCATCTTTTTGAAATGTATTTAAGTGAATATATTTTAAGTAGTTTTTATGACTTTCACGTCAACTTGTTTACTTTATAGTTATTTTCTTATGTTCATTTTTAATTCATAAATTTAAAACCGTTTTTACTATGAGCCTCAAAACTCTTATAACAATTTCTAGATTATTAAAATTTATACGGAATTTTATGAGGTTATTTACTTTATTAATTTTTAAGTATGAATTCAAAAACGTTCCTTTGTAATTTTTTTAATTCCATAGTTTAGTCAAAAAGTATGAATGCATGAGCCTTTAAAATATAGGCATGGCATCAAGGTTTTATTACACAATGAATAGGCATGCGGAATTAACAATCTTTTTGTTCTTTTTTGTGTAATTTTTTGAGAAAGTTGGAAGTTTATTTATAGGGTTTAAGGGCTAATTAGTACATATTTTGTAAACCTAATTGAATGATGAATCACAAGTTTAAAGCATCTAATAAAAAACAGAAACTTGTTGAAATTAATTTTGTTCTTTTCAAAATAATTTTTAAAAATAAAAGTAAAAAGTTTGAGATTGCATGAAAAAATCTAAAATTCTGCGTATTTATTAGCATTTGAAAAAAGCGTTTCAGAACTCTAAAGTATTTATTATCATTAGAAAAAGTTCTGTAACTTTCCAAATTTTCGTAATATTAGATAAGAAATACTCCAAATCCAAAGTTTTATTGGCGTCAAAAAAAAGTTCTGTAACTTTTCAAATTTTCGTACCATTAGATAAGAAAATCTCCAAATCCAAAATATTTATTATCGTTTTAGAAAAACTCCTGTAACTTTAAAAAAAAATTTTTAAGATTAAATTAGAAAATCTCCAAATCTAAAGTATTTCTAACCGTTAGAAAAGTCCAGTAACTTTTCAAATTCTTGTACAATTAGATAAGAAAATCTCCGAATCCAAAGTATTTATTATCATTAGAAAAAGTTCTGCAACTTTTCAAATTCTCGTAACATTAGAAATAAAAATCTCAAAATCCGAAGTATTTACTGTCGTTAGGAAAAAGTCCTACAGATTTTTAAACTCTCGTATTATTGGATTAGAAAATCTTAAATCCAACGTATTTATTACCGTTTGAAAGAGTCCTGCAACTCATCAAAAGCTCGTAGAATAAGAAAATCTCCAAAATTTATGTATTTTTAATGCTAAAACTGTAATTTTACTCGCGAAAAATGTAACAATTTTATAAAACTTCGCAGAGACATAAAAGAATCTATAAATAATCAAAATTAATTTTATTTTAAAAATAAAGCATAAAATATTAGTTTTCGCAATTCGAAAGGTGAAATATTAATCAGAAAAAGTTGGAGTATTTCTTTTAATGGACTTTAAAACATTAATAATAATTCCTATAGAAATCAAATTCAAAGCTATTAAAAACAACTGAAATAATTTTATTGTTTTGGTTACACACACATTGCATATCACGAAATTAAATCAAATGTTACTTAGAAACAATTGAATTATTTTCATTGTTTATTTTACACATGCATTTATATAATTTATTCCTACCACGGTGTGTATTACATCATTCCTTTTTTCCGAATAATAGAAAACCAAAACCTTGAACACTGACCGCAAAACATAATAACAACTTAAATCCTCATTTACAGAAATCTTGACCGAAATATTCACACCATTCGGACGTGCGAAGATGTTAAAAAAATGAGCCATAATGACCATTCATCCAACGAGACAGCATTGTTCAAATCGTAAGAAAACCTCAAAAATGTAATTAAAAAAAATAGAAGATGTTAGATTGTATCAGTTTTCACATCAGGTTCCGTTTTACTACTTTTTGCTAATTTTCACTCTCGCCATTTTTCTAAGTAGGTTGTGCGACTCGGGTAAGAAAAATATATAATAATAAATGAAATGAAGACTTTATCCGTACATGATCTTTTTTAATAGTTCTAAAGAGATGTTCCAATTTCTAATTTCGAACGACTTCTTAAAAGATCAAACCCGGAAAATGAGAGTTAAAATGAGGTAAGTGCAAAAAAAAATGTTACAAATTACGTTCACGTGTGAAGATAAACGGCGCCCATGATCTAACGCTTTAAAATGCCGTTTATTTTCGTGATTTTTATCGTTCCTAAATTGAAAAAACTCAATAAATGAGAAGTTCTAGAACTAGAATTAGCCATATAAACAAGGAAATAACTTAGAAAACGTAGACGACAACAAGCTCTTTAGGCAAATTCTTTTTAATTGGAAAAATCTCTTTCATTTTACTTTTTTATAACTTGGTTTACATAATTATTAAGTTGATGCATTACAGAGGCAAAAAAATATTAAGTTGTTATTTTTCTATAATTTGCCTACTTTTTCAAGTTAAAAGTAATTAGTCGCTCTGATTAGTATTATTATTATAGCTAATTCATTTATTCATTCACAATAATTAAATTTTTAGTGATATTCTTAAAAGTGTGTGGGACATTAAAAAAAAAATTTTCGGGAAAAAAAACGTTATCCCTTATTATTATTGTAATTTTATAACCATCTTTGAGCAGCCGACCCAATTTTTTATGTTTGCAGCAACCAAAGTTCAAATCCGTTACTTTGTAATTTTGAACCCTATCCAGAAGAAACGGGAACTCCTGGATAAAGTATTGGGATAAATTTGACTTCATAGAAAACTTTTTGAATTAACCCTTTTTTGCGCTACATGGAGAATAAAACCACGAAAACCTCCATGGTTAGACTGACGACAAGGGGACTCTAATCCATGATCCGTCTACCACTGAGGTCAGCACTTTTGCCAGTGCAAGCCAAATGTGGAACTCATATCTACCAATGGGATTCGAACCCAGCCCACCTCATTGGAAGGCGAACGCTCTATCCCCTGAGCCATCACGGCTCCATTATTATTATTGTTATTTTATTTTATAACCGTAGTGGAATAGCCGTCACAATTTTTGAGTTTACGACTTCTGGTGTTAAACTCCGTAGCCTTCTAATTTTGAACCCAATCCAGAAGACAAGGAAACTCCTGGATCAAGTATTGGGTGAAACTTGCCATCGTGGGGGACTTTTTGATGGAACTAACCTGCATTTGCGTTTCATGGTGAGGAAGACCACGAGAATCTTCCACGGTTAGTCTGATGACAAGGGGCCTTTATTCATGATCCGTCTACTGCTGAGGATATTTCACATCAGCAATGTGGTGAGTGCAAACTGGATGCGAAATTCATATCGACCAACCATCCCTGTGATTTGAACTCTGTTCACTTCATTGAAAGGCGAACGCTCAATCCCTTGAGCCATCGCGGCTCGGGCTCTATTATTGTTATTATTAGTAATAAATATTGGTTAAGATAGCCCGATTAGTAAGACGCTGGGCTCACGTTCGCGAGGTCGTGAGTTCAAATTCTGCTAGTCGAGGAATTCCTTATATTAAATATTGACTGGTGCTCGTTAAATCTGTCGGGGTCAAAAATTCCTCCAAGTTCCTATAACAAATCAATACCTCTGGGGTTACTGAATTAGAGATTGATCAAAAGTGATATCTGGTTCAAGTCAGAATTACGATCTGTGGACGAATGAATGGGTCCTCCCAGTGAAACAGGCTGTGACGTGTGTGTGACTGAAATCGTGTTCTTGACCACAGATGACGCCACTGAAAAACAAGAGACGCAGCCGTCTGTCTCAAATTTGCTTGGTTTCTTATAGCAGGCTTGCTGGTATTGGCAAGTGGCATAAGGAAAAACAACATTATTATTATACCAATATGTAATATTATAATAATCAAACAATAGTTTAAAAGTTTTTCCATTTAAATTTAATGATAAGAGAGAATTATGTTTAGTTCCAAGAAAAAAATAGATTAAATTTCTTACTCATCGTTTAAAGAAAGATATGTTAAGTTTCTATCTGATTAAGAACGCGAAATGAGATAAAATTGGAAATTATCAATAATGAACTAAACTCAGAAATTTTCAATTTTTTTCCCTCGTGGTCATTTTTAATTTTTGTTGCAGTAAGCAATTTTTTTCAAACATTATCTACAAATTCAATTTATTTAAATAAGCAAAACAATCATTTTTAATATTGAACATTATATTTACAATTACTTCACAAAATATTGTTGCCTTTTTTTTCATAAAACTCTAATTTCTAATATTTTTAATTTATCTTTTTATTAAGAGTCTCATGAAGTATATCTTTATAAAAATCTTATAAAAGAGATGTGTACTTTTTTTTGCATATTTATTGTATGGTATAGCATCTATTTATTTCAGATGCTAGCAGCAGAAGCATTGAATGTTGTAAGACTGCTGTGGATAAAAGGCATTACAACTGTTATCCTGTTGATATCCCCCAAGACGATCCCTTCTACAAATATTTTGAAAGAAGGTGCATGAATTTTGCAAGATCTTTGGCTGGTCTACAGCCTGGATGCAGACTTGGTAAGTACCAGCCTATGCAATGTGCGAACATTTTAATCTACACTGCAAAAAATTTGGTGTAAAATAGTTTATACTATTTTTTGGGTTCAGATAAACTAAAAAAAATGATACTGTGCACGAAGATGCGTTTTTCATTTATTTTTTTACTGTTATAGTTTGTTTTTATTTATTTTTAGTGTGCTTATTAACGAACAACACACATTTTCATGCACTTCTGAATCAATTTAAGAGCTTAACAAGTACATTTTTTGTAATATATTCACACTAATTTTTTCAAGCAATTGTTATTTTGTCATAGTTGATAAAATTTTTGATCTTGAGATAAACTAAAAAGTTTTTACAGTGCAAGTAGTCGCACTTCACTGTTATAACTTATTTTACCTTCGTATTTCTAGTTTTTCAACAACTTATATTTTTACGTGTGTTTGAATCCATTTAATAGTTTCATTGCAAAAGCATTTCCTTTTTTAGAAAAAATAAGTACAATTTTGGTAGCATATACGCATTAATTCTTTAAAACAATTATTATTTTGTCAATTTTATATTATTTTTTGCACGATATTGTTACCGTTTGGTACTTAATATTAGGGCTACCAACTTCCTTTACCGATAGCTAAGTTCATGTTTTAATGTACTATTCTTCGTTTTGTAAATTTTATTTAAAATCTTTTTCTTTTCATACCACTACATATATGTGATTCAGAAGTTGGTATGAAACGCCACTTTTTTCAGCTCTCACGTGGTTTTCAGCTCTCACGTTTTAAAATAATGAAAAATTATCAAAAATTATGAATGTTTTAGTTTTTAGTTGCTAAGCGATAAAATATTTTGCAAAAAACATGGTAGTTGGCAACTCTGCTTACAACTCATAAATGCGATTAAATAATTTTTTTCAATTAAAAATTAATTAATTCAATTAATTAATTTAATTAAGTACGAATTAATTAAATACGAATTAATTAATTTAATTAAATACGAATCAATTAAATATATTGAATTAATAAAAATTTATAAGAATTATTAAATTAATTGAACTTTTTAAAAAATATATATTTCATCCTATTTATCAGATTACTTTCTTCTGAGCTTCATAATTTTGAGAAAAAATCCCATTTTCTGTCGTAATTTAAAACTCGATTTTCAAGAGGAAGTTCATTTAAAAAAAATTCTAAATAACGAAACTTTTATTCTCAATGCGTGAATCTTACCTAATAATTAACACCTATTTCATTTTTCTTATGCCCCGGTTACCCTAAAATGCGTTTTTTGATAGTGAATTTAAAAAATAAAACAGTTACAAAAGTATTTTCAAATATGCTACGAATATATTTCGGAATACCAAACTGTTAATATTTTGCAAAAAATTTATTCATTTGACTAAATAACAATTGTTTTTGAGAACTTTAATGCAAATATATTACTAAAAATGTGCTTTTCACAGAAATGAAATGAAGCTATTAAATTGTTTCTAATGCGTTTGAAATTATTTTTGTCAATAAATAAGAACACAAGAGATTTATAAATATATAAAAGTAATTATAAAACTTAGAAGTAAATAAAAACTGTGACTACGTGCACTGTAAAAAATCTTAGTTTATCTCTAGACCGAAAATGGCAGTTACTACTTTACTCCAAATTTTTTACATGGTACACTAACAAATTTTATTTACCCAATTTAATAGCTGTCCAAAATTTTCATAAAGTCTCTAACGAAAATGCCATTACTTTTTCTTGTAATATATTTCTTCATGACAAATGATACGCCATACATCATTTAAGCATCCACTTTCATAAGTTCTTAATGCTTCATAAAATGTTATGTTATAAATTCTTAAACAATAGGATTTTTGTCTTAAGCGTTTAGTACAAATACAGCATATAAAACGCCCTTTTTTTATCAAGATTTATGATGAATGATAGCTTACGAATATCTTAGAATAATTTTATAAAAAATATACATCTCATTTTCAGTACTTATTTAAAATGTGCAAATTAAGAACGCAAAATCCTAAACTGAACCTTGCATATCTAAATTTCGTTCAAAAACGAAACTGGTTCAACATTAGTTAGTAGTTCATTAATCATTAGCTAGTGTTCAACATTAGTTATAAACATTAGCTAATTTTTTTCTTTTTCTTTTTTTTTTAGTTTCTCTAAAAGTAACTAATTAAAGGAGCTAAAATTTTAAATACCTAAATTTTCAAATTTGCAATAATATCCCAGCCAGTTCTTTGTATCTCATAAAGATTATAATTTTTATGAATGAGTTTTGCATACGACGCCATCTAGCGAGAAAAAATAGCAACATTAATTTAGATGTTTTATAAAAATAAATGATTTATCATAATAAACACCACTATAATCAATTCCAGATTTAAAAAATGAAGTAGGAAAAATTTGATATTTTATTTATATGTATCTCGGACGTTTAATAAGGATTAGTATTATTTACAGTAAAAAGTCTTTAGAGTACATTAAAATCTTAAGTTAATCTCAATTTCATAAAAGTTAATAAAACTTATCTAATTTTCAAAGTACAAAGTCTCTACATAATGTACAGTGCGCAAGAGAATAAACGCAGCACTATGAATAATTTTCGATCAAAGGATTGGATTTTCACGCACTAGGACTCAATCTTAATGGTCACCTCAAATATGCTAATTATTTATTGCAGACGAAGTTACGGAAAAAAATACAAAAACATACTTTCTCTGAATAAACATACTTTTTTGTCTACGGATTTGTATGACTAACAAAGAAAATACTAGGTGTAGCCGCAAATATGATCCCAATAGTTTGGTTAGGAAAGCGGTCTGAACTTTGGACTAATATTTTTGATTGACTTATGATTTTGAATTTTTGGGCTAATATACAAGAGACTGATATTTTTGTTGTACATGAAAATCGAACTATGTAGAGTATTAAATGAACTTTGTATTAAAGAATTAATAATTATTTTTGATTCATATGTTAAATTCAAATTATTCACAATAACGTCTGCAGCGTAAAAATAATAAATTTTTTTACATAAATAAAACTATGTATAGCGTCAACTATATTGTACAAAATATACATACACTTAAAAAATATCTTAAGTACAGTCATGATTCTATAATACAAAATTATATATCTTTTACTCTGCGTAGCTGTCAAATTATGTATTTTAATAACTGCATTGAACAAAAGCGCATACTATCTACTATACATTAAAATCAGATTTTGTATACTAATGACTATATTCAATATATTAATCAAAATGACTTGTAATCAAGATTGCATGCAATCATAATTACTTGCAATCATACATTTTGATTACTTGTAGTCATAATTATCCGTAAGCGTTTTTGTTGTGATTAATTGTAATCACAATTACTAGTAATCATGATTACAGTTGTGATCAAAATTTTTATTACAAGTAATTGATTACTGTAATCAACTATTGTAATCACGATTACAGCTGTAATCAAAACTTTTGAAGGTTTTAATCGCGATTACATGTAGAAGATTACTTTAATCGATTATTGTAATCATGACTACAGCTGTAATCAAAGTTGTAATCACGATTACAAGTAATTGATTACTTTAATCGATTGTTGTAATCCCGACTACAGCTGTAATCAAAGTTTTAATCACGATTACAAGCAATTGATTACTGCAATTGTTTGTTGTAATCATGATTACAGCTGTAATCAAAATTATGTTATTTTGTAATCATGATTACGAGTAATTGATTACTGTAATCGAAAAATGTAATCGATTACATTTTTGCCCAACTCTGCTATATTTTACAAGGACTTTGTGCAAGGATATTGTACAAGGACATTTTTTATTCTTTATAAAAATTAAAATTGCTAATTCGATTAGTTGTTTAATTTTTTTTATTATTATTTTCAGGTCCAAGGTGGCAAATAAATGCTGTATCAGCCAATATTGATGGAAACTTTATTTATGGAAGTAATGAAGAAACAGCTTCCCGATTGAGAGAATTTAAAGGAGGTAATTCATTAACATTTTGACCATAAATGTGCAAATTTAAAAATAATATACATAAAAAAATTAACCAGAATATTAATTAAATTTGATTTTTTGTTATTTACTATCCATTTTTTCTAAAAATATTCACGATTTTTCTGTATCTGAAGATTTTCCCAAAATAACATTTTTCTAAAATTTAAACCACCATAATGTTTTGTAGGGAAGTGTCGATTCCTAAATACAGTATGATTTTAAATATTTTTAACTTTTACGAGTCAGAAAAATTCGAGCAAAATTTTATACAAAAAGAGTCATGAAGTTTATCATTATATTGCTCAAAATTCTTTTGTGTGTCATTTATTTTATTTGTATTTTAAGTTATCCATTTAGTTTTATTTTAATAGATAATTTAATTTGCTTTTAAGTAATTTGTATTTTTGTAATACTTATTTAAATATAACTCTATATGTTCTTTATAATATCATTTATATGATGTAATTGTATTAGTTATATATTTCTCGATTAAATAAAAAATAAGACTTTAAACTTTTGTTTTTATTTTATCCCCAAATAAATGAAAAAATTGTTGATTAACCATATCCTGTATTTCTTTTTCTATACCATTTAAAAATCTTGCAAATATTTCCCTACGAATTTTTATTTGCAATGTTTTCACAGCAATATTATATTACAGAATAATAAGCCTAAAGAACACCAGAACGCTAACAAAATCAAAAATAATTACTTAAATTAATTTTACTTAAAGTTTTGATGCAAACATGAAAAATTCAGAAAACTTTCTTTGTTTTTAATGAAACTGTTACCTGGGAGAAGGGCTCCAAGCGAATATTTAGTCAAATTAAAGAACTTACTATCTTCACTTATTTGAGGGTACAAATTTCGTTCAATAGCAACACATAAGTCACGCTACTGATTAGAAAATCTGAATTAAAATATAAAGGCTATGTATAAAAGGATAACCTAGTCATCTCCAAGAAATGAACACAGAATACGTGTTTCACTAACAAAATCACAATTGTTCCATTGAATTAAAAATAAACTATTTTTATTGAATAAAAAAAACTGTATTGTTTAAAACTATTAAAAATGATGAAGAACTCCCAAAATATACTGGGATTTTTATTCGAGTTAATTTTGTCAAATATATGAAAACTTGCGCTCTGTCTAAAATCAAGTAATTTGGAGACAAAAAGGATTGTTAAATATAAAACACAACAATTGTTCAGTCACTAGAAATGCTAGTTTTATTTTTGAGATTGTTTTATAAATAATTAATTATTTACATCTTTAATAAGCCTCATAGCTTGCTTTCTACGTGTCTATAACATGTAAATATTGTCTAACATTTTAGGTCGTCTAAAAACTACTCCATTGTACAGAAATCTTGGATTAAAAGATTTATTGCCAATGAAGACAGTTGATCCTGATCTCGGATGTATTGCCAGACCACGAAACATGTATTGTTTTGATGCAGGTAATAATTAAAGCTAACTTATCCTTAAATAATTCTATTATGTTAAATATCTAATTTTTTAACATATCTCATCTTCGATCATTTTTAAATTATTTACAAAGGGAAAAGGACAAGCACTGAAATAAAAGTGGTTCAGAATAAATAAAATATCATCCCTTCAGTTGAAAACTTAAAAAGGAGGTTAATTTCACTCATAATTTTAATAGCAAAAACTTTTTTATTGTGTTTAACAAGTTTTAGGAGAGTTTGAATCTAAAAAATGGAAAAACTTTAATTTATAAAATATTTATTTTCAACGAAATGCTTTGAAGAAAATTTTTAAATGACCAAAATTTAATTTCAAACTCTAATTTCTCTAAAAGTATTGATCTTTTAAGACTTTTAATGCTGATGGTGTTATTTACACATTTATTTTCATTGAAAGCGCTGAATATACAATCCGTATACCATATGTTTTCCAATTATTAAATTCTGTTCGAAAACTTCTTACTTAGACTTCAAGTCATAGCAGGAGTCCTTAAAGAAATGGCGGTAAATTCTTTCGGTCGTAATTGCCCTTTTTGCAATTGTCTGATGAAACAAAAAAAAACACAAAAACCTCTCGTTGTTAGCCATAGGACAATAAGACTCTGACTTGTTATGTATTAGTTTCTAGAGTATTTTTTAGAAATACTTTAGGAACAGCAGGTTAGAAGGAAAAATATACTTATCAATGAAAGCATGAATAAATATTGAATTTTTTTACCTGCTTTACTTAATATACAAAACTAACTTAAAATAATGTAATCATTGCACAGAACCCCATTTATTTAGCATTTTTTCCTCAAACAATAAATTTTAATTATTTAAGAACTAAAACAAAAACCCTTGGATAGTTCTACTCAAGTAAATTAAATAACTCTTGTATTACAGGTGACAACCGTGTAAATGAACAGCTCCAATTGGCTGTGATGCATATCATTATGATGCGTGAACACAACAGGTTGGCAGAAGGTTTGGCTCACATCAACCCTCATTGGGACGACGAGACCCTCTATCAAGAGGCCAGACACATCCTCAGTGCTGAAATACAACAAGTCACTTATAATGAATTCCTTCCAATGGTCATTGGACATCAAACAATGAAGAAATATGACCTTGTCCCTCTGAAAAAGGTTTTAACAATCATCCATTATATATTTTATATATTTTATTTTGCTATATTTTATTTTGAGAGTTTTTATTTCTGAAACCAAATCATACTCAATTATATTTCTTAGCTAACTCAAATGATATTTCCTACACTGAGAGAAAAACTACCGGAATATGGTTGTATCTTTAACTCTATGGGAACACCAAAAATCTCGGAAATTTTAATCGAAGTGCTTTGGTAATGATTTTTGAAGAACTAACAATAAGATATTGTTTTCTACTGTGTGATGAAATTTGAAAAATGTGATAAAATTTGGTAATCTTATCCTGATACCTTAGAGCACGGCATAAAAACCATTTATATGGTTAAATTTACTTTTCAGTTTAGCACTTCTTAAAAAATGTGTGGTAATAAGAACTATAATTTTGAAAGCCAGAATTCCTGACCATCCGTTACCACATGAACGGAAAAATTACCAAATAAATTGTTTAATATCGTATATTTTACTTTTTTTAAAATAGAATTATGTTACTGTTATTTTTCTTTTACGGAAATGTCATTACCATAGTGTGGGGTAATTTTTCCAAAATATTTTTCTCCATGTAGATAACGCTATAATGTTAAAGAGAAGGCGATTTGTGAGATTTACAATAAAATTACAATATAAATTTAACACATTTGAAATATAAGTAGAATAGTGTAGTATTATTTATTTTTTTAAAGTTTCTTAAGCGTCTTATAAGCATTACAAAAACTATTTCTTTGATTTTTGAGTCCTATGATTAAAGACTGCTATCCATTAATTAAGTAAGCGACTAATCTGTACTGAGTTATGCATAGTAGAATCTTCAGAATCTATCTTTTATACTTGATTAAGTATATAAAATAAAATTCTTAGTTTGAAAGTAAATAAATTAAATTTTAGATAAAATAAGAGTACGAAGGAAAACTTGGCAGAGATCGGGTACACAACTTACGAAAGCCAAAAAAAAAAAGTAAACTTCGAAAACAGGTAGACCAATCTGCCCCTCAAAATATCCTTTGCTTATTTGATTTGATATTCATATTCTCATTTTTAACTTTTATTTTATGATTAATATCGTTGACTTTATTATTTTTTAGGGATATTATGATGGATACAGTCCAAAAATAAACGGTGGAATTCGAGCTGGTTTCCAAGCTGGAGCTTACAGATTTGGACACAGTATTTTACCAGATGTCACAGAGCGTTATAACAAATTCCATGAAAGAATAGGTAAATCCACCTCAATATGTATAAACAGTTACTCGATTTCACAAAAATTACAGACTATAATAAATAATAAATAAATTTAAGAAAAATGGAAGAAGTGTGCGAAAAACTGAATTTTGATTACAACCAATTTTTTAAATTAGTTACAGATTTCGTCAAAAAATGACACTGGCGACCAGAAAAACAAAACATTGTTTCCTGTTGTATGCCATCTATTTGCTAAAACTGACCCTTTTTGATGTACTTTTTCTCAACATCTGAACATGATATTGCTTTTTTTCAGCAGGATATTTGGATATTCATGTTTACACTGCGACAACTGTTAGTACATATTTTCGGCAGAATTTTTTTTTTAAAAATTATGAACTATGAATTGATTAATAATCAAAAATCTTTCATAAGTCAAAAAGTATTCATGTTAACGCTAAATCATTATCACGGCCGATGCAATCTCAAATATCCCGAAAAATTTCAAAGCGATGTCATAAGTAGTTTCTTGGAAAAGACACATAAAAAAAGATCAGTTTTAGCATTATTGATATATGCCAGACTAACTCCGCTTAAAATTATTGTTTCTTAGTTTTTTACTTAGTAGGGATGAACTTTGTTCTTAGTATGGAAACTTTGTGTAAAGATATAGGGTAAACCAACCAGTGAAGGAACACTACCCAGTGAAGGAACATTTCAAATATATTGATTAAAAATAAGAATTTGAAAGTTTTTCTTTAGATTGATTGGTAACAATAGCTTATTGCCAAACAATCGGAAGTCATCTAGCAATGTTTTGCATTACCTGGTCAAATAGGCTTCACTGGAAAAAATTTTGAATTTGTTATTATCTCTGCAACACCTTGTTTCTTTGAAAAAATTATAAGGTGATTGTTTGTATTTATATGTATGAAGTGGAATTAATTGCATGTAATGGTTTTATTTTTCTCACTGTGAAAAAGAGAATTCAAAATATAGTTATTGAAGTTACGTTTTATTTTTTTAAGCATCATAGCATAATAAAGTACTGAGATAAGGGGGTGTTTATTCACTGGATCACCAAACGATGAAAAACCAGTGAAGGAACAAGTGTTTCTTTACTGGGTTCATTTCTCAGTTAATGAAAATAAAAGAAATTTCGTAATTTTCTTGTACTTTTAGTCATATTATACATCAAAATTCTGTTTAAAAGACAAAAACCAGCTTCTAACCAGTGAAGAAACAGGCATATTCCTACACTGGGAATACTTCCAGTGAATGAACAGTAATGTGTGATATATGATTTTACATGACTCTAGGATAAGTAATTCTGCTATATAGAGGACAACCGAAATTTTGTTAAAAATTGTATGAATAATTCCTGAAATAATTTCAGTTCAAAATGTTAATTTAATAGCTTAATTTATGAAAAAATTATAATTTATATTTATTAACGGGGTGTGTAGTTACATCAAATGTTAGGCAACTTAATAAACTATGTTTACAAATCGAAAACTAATTAAATATAATCATAAAAATAGAACATTTTTTCGCTGGCTTTTGCACCAAGAACTCCTAATAAGCTATCATTATAGGATAGCAACGTGATTATATAATTTATAGAAACTACTTTACAATGTTAGAATTTAGAAGTAAGTTCCTCAACAAAAAACAAAGTTAAACAGAAACGATACTCAATTTCTTCAGAAGCTTGAGAGGGAAATCCCTCAAGATATGTTGTAAATTTTTAACACAGCATTGACGGAAGAGTCTAATATCGAAAATGTCCAAGAGCCTGTACTTTTTCCAATATGGAAGAAGCACGTATTAAAAGAAGACCACTTGGTTAAGTCAAACTTAGGAACTGAAGCTAGTATTGATAATGAATGCATATTAGATATCGAATTTGAAATGAGTCCTCATGCTGATTCTCTTAGTTGAAAAAAGAAATGATTCTGTAAGTAAAATCAGTACTTCTAAAGATCCTCTAGATATAAGTCAACAAGAGATGGATTTGCCTCAAACTTCAAGACACCTTTCCCCCGTCTATTTTCGAGAAAGGCATTCTAGAAATGTTGCTGAAAAATCAGAAGAAGTTTGGAAGAGCCATTTACATTGGCCAAATATTGATGATAAAAAGAAAGGTCAAATAAGAAGAAAAGCGAATAAATTACCTTTTGCACTAACTTCAGAGAAATGGCAAAAATTTCAAGAGGCTGAAAGATCTAAAAAACATTAAAACAAGAGAACATGGAAAAGAAAAAGAAAGAAAAAATACTTAAAAAAGAAAAAAAGCTTCAAGAAATAAGAGGAAAAAGAGTAAACAAAAAGGTGATAAAATAATAATGATAATAAACAGCATCGGATGACACAATGATTTAGATTTGACTGTCAAATTATAAGAAAGAACGATTTTTTTAAATTTATTTTGTATTTAACATCACTTTAATTTCTAGTTCATGATTACAGAAAAAAGTTAGCATTTTACAAGTACTTGTATCTCATAATTTCACAAATAGTCTTGTTTTTAGTCGGACCTCTATTTAACAAAATCACTTAATACCAATAATAAGCTCGTTATATGGAAAATTCGTTAAATAGAAAATCACCTCTTAAAATACTTAAACAACACAAAACAGGTTTTAAATTCTTAAACACTAGACATAATTAAAATAGCAATTGATACACTTTTATCTTGTAAACTAGTATCTACTATTTATCATATAAATCTCAACCATAAAAGAAATCTGCATGGAAAGCAAGAATAGAGCAAAACATTATCCAGTGTTACACTATCATGCTATATACATTTTCAACTAAAAAAAGTCTAAATTTATGTATAAAAATATAGTTGCATTTATTATAAAAGTAATTTTAAACATACATTACCACTTGCGTTAAGTTAAATTGCTACGGATGAAATCCGTTAATTTGAAGTGAGTTTTTCGTTTGAAGTGCAAACAAAAAGGGAAAGGGAATTTACTGCTTTCTCTAAGATAATTTTTAGACAAAACAGTAATACATTTCATAAAGCAGTGGCTTCGAAAATTAATTTAATGTCATTTCCCCCATAAATTGCTTTAACAAGTTTAAAATGTTAAGAAATATTTTGGAAAATAGGGAAATTGGATCTCAATGAAAAGTTCGTTAAATAGAAAATTCACTTCGCTATATGGAAGTTATTTTACAAAAAAATTTCCAAAATGCTCTTGGTTCCTCGAAAAAATTCGTAAAATAGGGAAATTCGTAGAATGGAAGTTCGTTAAATAGATGTCCGACTGTATTTGTATGGCTAAAAAATTCATAAAGAGCATTAAAAAATAACCAAAATTAAGTGTTCCTTCACTGGGCAATTTTGTGTTCCTTCACTGGTAAGAGCTGTTCCTTCACTGGGTCTTCTTACTACTTGTTATTTGAACCTCCAAAACTTTAAAACAATATTATGTAAGTTCTCTGCAATTTTTTTGCATAATTTGCAATTAGTAACAAATATGTTGACACTGTCATTTAACTGAAATTACGAATTTTGAAATTAATATGATTTTTTAAAAGGCAAGCGAAGCTTAAGTGTTCCTTCACTGGTTAGTTTACCCTATACGATCTCATATAATACTGCAATGTAGTAGAGTGTAATGATAATAATACATTTTGTTTAAACAGGTTTCCATTGCTAATTTTAATTACAATGTTAATCTAATGTATCTATGAAGAGCTCATATAATTCTGCAATGTTGTCAAGGCGTAATGATAATAACTAGTTTAGTTTGATGAGGTTTTTATTGCTAATTTTAATTACAATGTTAATCTAATATATCTATGAAGTGCTCATATAATTCTGCAATGTTGTTAAGGCGTAATGATAATAAAACGTTTAGTTCGATGAGGTTTTTATTGCTAATTTTGATTACAATCATAATTTAATATACCTATGAAGTGCTGATATGATTCTGCAATGATGGTAAAGCGTAATGTTAATACTAAGCTTTGTTTAAAAATGTTTCGATTGTTAATTTCGTACGTCTATGAGCTGCGCATATTTGTAAGTATAGTATTTTATACGTTGAAATGAGATAAAATAGTCCCATGTAATTTAAATATTAATTTTCAAATTTATGGACTTATTCAACAATTAATGTATCTGATATTCGATTTTAATTTTAATTCGATAAGATTTTATTTCCATGTCGAATGATATATCTTTCCCCTTCTCTACCAAAGACCATGTCGAATTACATATCTTTCCCCTTCTCCACCAAAGATCTGAATTTACGGACTTATTCAACAATTAATATATCTGATACTTGATTTTAATTTTAATTCAATAAGATTTCATTACCATGTCGAATGATATATCTTTCACCTTCTCCACCAAAGACCATGTCGAATTACATATCTTTCCCCTTCTCCACCAAAGATCTAAATTTACGGACTTATTCAACAATTAATATATCTGATACTTGATTATAATTTTAATTCAATAAGATTTTATTACCATGTCGAATGATATATCTTTCCCCTTCTCTACCAAAGACCATGTCGAATTATATATATTTCCCCTTCTCCACCAAAGATCTAAATTTACGGACTTATTCAACAATTAATATATCTGATACTTGATTTTAATTCAATAAGATTTTATTACCATGTCGAATGATATATCTTTCCCCTTCTCCACTAAAGACCATGTCGAATTATATATCTTTCCCCTTCTCCACCAAAGATCTAAATTTACGGACTTATTCAACAATTAATATATCTGATACTTGATTTTAATTCAATAAGATTTTATTACCATGTCGAATGATATACCTTTCCCCTTCTCTACCAAAGACCATGTCGAATTATATATCTTTCCCCTTCTCCACCAAAGATCTAAATTTACGGACTTATTCAACAATTAATATATCTGATACTTGATTTTAATTCAATAAGATTTTATTACCATGTCGAATGATATATCTTTCCCCTTCTCCACCAAAGATCTGTGAATGACATCGATTTATGGACAATTGGAATCGCTGAATATCCTCTACCTGGTGCTATTGTTGGACCCACTTTTGCCTGCCTCATCGGAGAACAATTTGCTAATATCCGAAGGGGTGACAGGTTCTGGTATGAAAATCATGGATGGCCATCCACCTTTTCTCCTGGTAAACAACTTGCATTTCCGTTTTTTTTTTTTTTCTACATTGTAATTTATTTAATTTTTATGGGTGTACTGTGCGTCAAAAAAATGAACCACCCTAAATAACTTTTGATCGAATTTTCACGTTCTGGGACTTAAACTTAATGGCTCGAGGTGGTGACCTCAAATATGCTAACTAATAAAAGAGGACTATAAATTAAGTTACAAAATCAGACACAAAAATGTATTTTCTTTGAATAAACGTAAAATTTTTTTGACGGATTCGGATTTCTGACCTCTCAAAATACAGAGGGAAGTCGCAATATGGTCTCTATAGTTGGGTCAAGAAAGCTCTCCGAAGTTTGCAAGCCCTTATTATTAATTTTACTTTTTGCTTATTTCTCTATATGTCTCGTACGTTTCACGCGAATCGAAAAAATTTTAGGCGCAATTATAAAATTTGTTTTTCCAAAGATAATCCCATGCCAAAAATAACTTTTAGTAAATATTTATTATATTTTATTACTTTATTTAAGAATGGTCGAAAAATTTTAAATTGTAAGGTATACAACTTTTTACGCGATTTTAAAGAATGTAATTTTACATGGCAAAATACAAAGTGTGTGTGAAACCAGTCGAGTAGCTCCTGAGAAATTGAATTTCAAAAAAGTCAGAGACTCAAAATTCGATTTTTCAGGTACTAGTAGACCGATTTCCTTCAAATTTTATACTTTACCATGTGAAATTACATTCTTCAAAATAATGCAGGAAATTGTATACTGTTTTTAGACCATTCTTAAATAAAATGATAAAAAAATAATAAATATTTATTAAAAGTTATTTTTTGCATGGAATTATTTTTGGAAAAATGAATTTTATACATAATCGTCTGCAACATTTTTAAACATGCACTTAAAAAGTTCTCGAGATATAGAAAAATCGGCAAAAAGTAAAATTTACATTAAGGGGTCCAAACTTTGGAGTGCTCTCCTGACCAAACTATTGTGACCATATTTAACAGATTGCAGCTAACCCCTATTATTTGGGGGTCAGAAATCTGAATCCGTCGCAAAAAATTGCATGTTTATTCAGAAAAAGTGCATTTTTCTGTTTGATTTCATAACTTAAAATATCGTCTGCACTTATTAACGAACACATTTGAGGTCACCCCTTCGAACCTTTAAGAATGAGTCCTAGAACGTGAAAATCCGATCATTAGATCAAAAGTTATTCAGGATGGTCCCTTTTTTTGTCGCACTGTACATGTATAAATGTTAGCGTAATTTACTATAATTTTATTCTGTTATAATTTTCTTATCTTGTTATAATCAGTTTTTAATCAACAGAAGCTAAAAACTAAAAGCTCCAGGAAGGTAATTGAATTAAATTTTAAAAACATTTCTGTGTCCTATCTTTCAGCGTTTTTTACACCAACTATACCAGTAGTCGTATATATTGACATAACATAGTCGCTTATAGCATATTTTTGTTAACAAAGTTTCTATCTTTTTAAAGCAAATCTTTAAAAGTATAAAATTTATTTGAAATCGCCTTTCGTTGGGATGAAAACGTGAATACTAAATTCAAGACGAAGCAGGAGAGAATGAAACAAGGAGCAACGACATCATTCAAAACGAAAAAATAATATAATGAAAAAATAAATATAAATGGGTTTTTAACCCATGTTGACCAAACCGTGACACATGCGTCACGCGAATTACGAAAATTTCTCTTACCTAAAACAGGACTTAGCACGTCAAGCAAATGTTTTTAATTCTTTTTAAAAATCAAATAGTAGCTAATGGAAGAAAATATTCATTTTGTTAAAAAATAACCACTTTTTTAAAAGGACCTTTATTGCGTCACGGCATATGAAAAATTCTGGCATCAATGGGTTTTAATTATACAAAAAAACTTGCCCTTTTTACAAATTTTGATTGTTTACCTTTTCGTTCTGACCAGAGCGCTATGTAACCTAGTTGACTTGTTTAAACGCAATGGTCCAGTACTGCTTTTTAAAACAAAATTTAATTTATCACTTTGCTCAAGTAAGAATTACTGCCTATCTCTTTTCTTATAACTAAAATTGCATGTAAAACTAAATGCATATGACAAATTTTTAAAGTAAAATGTAGTAAAATCTTGTTGAAATAATAATTTTTATCTATAATTTCAAAATTTTAGAACATTATTTCAAAGAAATCTGAAAGGTTTTTATGTACTATTCAAACAATTCGTAACATGTTTTTAAGTAACGCTAAAATTCTATTTTTTATTTAACTGTTATGTTTTTAAAATCTCTTGTGCATGTTTCATAATTCAGAAAATAAACAACATTTCAACAATTCAGAATTAAACAATCCCCTTCAATTCAATTCAACAAATCACCTAAACGACCTAAAAAAAATAATAACGTTTTTATTCCAAGTATGGATATAGTCCTTATAATAGATATAGGTCGTTATAAACATTTCCTATAACTATGATATAAGATGTCTACAAAAAGAGGTTAGCTCTAGTGGTGACATCTATTGGAATCAAGACTAACAAGTAACGCAGGAGACAAAGAAAAAGTAACTTCTGAAAGTTTCGTTTGCAAACAAGGAACGAAAAAGACTACCAGAAAGGCTTAAAAGATTTATTTGATTCTTAAATCACTAAATTATTTTAAATCTTTGACTATTTAAATAAATATGAAATAATAATTACAATGAAACTGGAACACATACTAATTTTCCCTATTATATTCAAAATTGGTTTTTAAAAAAGCACAGAATCGTTGATTATAGTTAAATTATTCTAAAAACTCAGCAAAACTTGCTGTATAAATATGAAATCTACTCGTAAACTGAACCTTCTTAACCTTTTAGAAACCTATCAAATAGGCTTTAGAAAGTCTTAAAATTAACTACATTTAATGTTTTAACATACTTTCTATTTTTCTTTTCAGACTCACAAATGCTTATCGTTGATTAAATCCTTCACACAAAATAGTCATATTATTTTAACGTCTGTTCATCTAAGCACCTTGATGACGTAAAAGATGAAATCGGATTATTTATGGGGGGAGGGGAATGTGGCATAGCATACAAAAGCTACTAAGAAAATATCTAGACCAATTTGACAAAAATGCAGAAAAATTCAACTTTATGGTTTCCAATTCAAGCATCTTCAAATCTGATGCCTGTATTTCATTTTTCAGAACAACTTCAGGAGATCCGTAAACTAAGACTAGCAAGAATTTTGTGTGATAATGCTGATGAAATGCTAACAGTTCAATACTCTGTGTTTGCCATGGCAGACCCACACTCGTAAGTATTATTTAACTTATATGTTCTTATAACAATTTCTTTTTAACATAAACATTTTTATAGCTGAAAAAATTATTTTTTCTGTTTCCCTTGTGACTATATTTAGCGATATTATAATCACTAAGTTTAGAAATTGTAATTAATAATGGCAGTAAAGTAACTATTTACAACAAAAATACGAAAATCAGTTCAAAAGATAACAATTTAGGCCCTATTACAACACTGTTATGGCTTGCAGAATTGATATTATGCTTAGAAGCTTCGCCTCAGGTGACCTTGACCTATTCCGAAATTACTTACAGTTTCCTATTTTAAAAAGAGACCAGCTTATAATTTTTGTTTAAATGCTGCTGCAGCTTAAGTGCGCACTTTAAACGGGGTTTTTTTTTTCTGAAACATATTGTAATTTGATTCGAAAATATTTGAAGCAATGTTTTATATTTAAATATCTTGACATTATAAAGAAGAGAGTCGCAATATATTAGTTAGATTTATCAAAAACAAAAGCCGCCTCAGAAATAAATAAATCAGACATTTTCGTTGCTAAAAACACTGAATAAGTTCCGGGTTTTTGAGAATGTTATAAAGACTAAAGAAAACCTTTTTAATGAAATATAAATAGCTAATTTAAAAACATATTTCACATTTATCCTGTTTTCATTTTGTTAGATACAGCATGTTTGAGTAACACAAGTCTAATAATGTACAAGTCAGAAGATAATTGAAAAATCAGACCACGCGCTTGGCAAACTCGATAAGTCTTCATCTTTTCCCACTCTGCGGCTATTTCTTAGGGTTTTTTAAAACAAACCTACATTCCCTAAAGCTAATTTAAGTGCGAAGATTTACTCAATCAAAGTGAATTTTCTTAAGCTTATTGAAATAACTCTTTAATAAAACTTCACTACTCCGTGCTTATTCACAAACTGGTTGAAATAAATCTGGTTAATTTAGCAATGAATGATGCGTTTTCTAACCAGCCAATATTTATGTAGTATAATATGTAAGACTCATTGGACAAAAAAACTTTTTTTAATTAATTTGACGCATTTTAAAATGATAGCGTCTGTTTATAAAGAGCTGAATTGTTTAATTAGCCTACGAGATATGTTTCTATACGAGTTGCAAAACCTGATAACTACTTTTGTGTTAATGTATCAGATCTTCTTCAGCATTCAATTTTCATTTTTCAATGGCTCATTATTTAGAATCTAAAAAAGAAACATATTTCATGATGCACTTCATTAATATAGCAACTTCATTTATTGCATTTTGTGTAGGAAACAGTAGATTTTATATCTGGGCAACTCAAATGTAAGTTACACTTTTCAATGATTTATCATCCATGAAAAATACTCAGCATAGTTTCATGCAGTCATACTTATCGTGGATTTTTCAAATTCTTTTTGGCAATCGGTCGAAACGATTTGTAAAAAGTTCAGAAATTTCAGATCCTATGCTTAGTGAATACCTGAAGTTCATATTGGTGGAGAATATCTCCAATAGCTCACCTTCTCATTTACCGATAGGTACTTCGTTTTCTATGCCCACTGCTGTAATTCTGATTTTAAAAATGCAAACACTCAAAGAGAACTTTTAAGCACATGACTCGTGACAAAACCCATGAGCATCGTTGACGTATGCCCCTCCATCAATAATTAGATATCTCTATAAGTCTTTATTAGAAATCTCTATATTTCAAACAAATAAAGAACATTTTCGTGAATTATTATCGATTTAAATTCTTTAATGTTAAAAACAAGAAAGAGATGTTAAAAAAATAACTAATTTTTTTCCGGTATTTCGCCCATTTGAGAAAAAAAGTTTCTTATTTGTGAAATTTAGAAAACTATTCTGACTGTGTCATTTAATTTCTTCCGTTTCGAAAAGTGGGTTCCTACGACATCTATGTGAACACTATTTTAATTCGCTAACTATTTTCAGTCAGATTTGTTTCACCAACTACTTCCAACTGCTATTTTAAAAAGAACTTAAACTGTTTCCTTATTTAGTGCAATGCTCGTTTTTCATGACCCTCTGAAACCCCAAAGTATGAATAGCTTTTCAGATAATCGTAAGATTCGGAGCTATAAAAAGGAAAAAATAAAATTTGTCATGGGGGTAAATGATTAGACTTTTTCCCCAAGAAAAAAAAAACAAATACCCATTTTTTTTCTTTTTAGAGATTTGTATAAGTAAGTGCATAGGTTGCGCTCGGCTAGAAATGTTGGGTTTGTGATTTTAACTTTTTTTGTTTAATTTTGTTACATTAAATTTGTTATGGGAATTAATACTTCAAGTGTCTTACTATGATCGTTAAACAACTGTATTTCACCACATTAAAGAAAAACAAGGTGGCCGGGATAACCTGGTTGGCAGGACACTGGACTCACGTTTGTGAGAACGGAATTTCGAATCCATTCGGCCGTAGGCATTAAATCTGTCGAGTCGCGAAGTCCTACATGTTCCCATAACAAATCAAAACCTCTGGGGGTACTGAATTGGAGATTGATCGTTCTCTGATTCAGATCAAAATTACGATCTGTTGATGAATGAATAGATATATGAATGGGTCTGCCCTATAAGCGAGTGTGGCAGAAGTCGAATTCTTGGCCATAGATGGCGCCACTGGTAAACAAGAACAACGCCCCCCCCCTCTCTGCCTTTACAGGCGTTCGTCAACAACAACTAAAAGAGTATCTTCAATTATCCGTTATAAGCATCATGAAAAATCTTCACTATTTTATCACACATAGTTAGTGATACAACAGGCGTATTTATTCTTGTACCGAGACTAGAACTGATTATCGATGATTCCATTTTAGAAATCCCAGACTGGATTGTGGAACTGATGACATACCCCGACTGGACCTAAGCAAATGGAGGGACACGAATTACAAGAAATAGAGCCATAGGAGAGAAAGAATTTTGTATAATACTTGCACATATATTTAAGACTACTTTTCGATCGGTCGGATGAGAGAGTCGCGTCTGTACGAGTCATAGCCCCTTCGAGATGACATTTCAGCTTCATCTGTCACTTCTGAACTATGCATGGCCAACCTTTTACATGTTCTTTCAGGCAGCTCAGTCAACATAAAAGAAAATCAACATGTTTTTTTTTAACAAGAATTCAAATTTATGTGAAAATATATATTATACTCATTAACTATTGGAAATTTAGGTGTGAGTTGAACCATTACATTGTTGAACCACAATTTGCTGCTGCCTAAATACGGTGCTTAAATGAGCCATATTAATGTGCAAATTGAACTTGGTTACACGATACTATGGTCCCACTTTAACGTAAATATGGTATCTTGACCATCATGTTGCTCGCATTCGCTGCAATATTCAGAGCATGTTTAACTGAGCCGTTTTCAATTAAATTTACGAATGATTTAATAGCATAATTCAACTTGACATCGTTATGAGCATGCAGAAACGATATCATTGTTCAACATGCTCTAAAATTTCAAATAATAAGCATGCACTATGTTGTAAGAAATATTGCAGCGACAATGTCGTTCAAAATTACTGTAACCTTAATATGGTGTTAAACAGAACCATATTATCGTATTTCTTAAGCATGATTACTCTATAATATGATTCAACTTTAACGAAAACGTTGTTTAATTTAACACCATAGTAAGGTTATAGCGAATTCTATTGATGGTTCAAGGTACCGATATTAGGATTCAATATTGAACCGATTTTTATGAGAGCATAAAAAAAATTGTATTTAAATCGTTATATTTTTCAGAATAAGCTACATAAAAGTAGCTCTAATCATTCTATTTGCCACGTTTATTACTTACAGTAAAAACTTGGTTATTATGGATGACAAAATAAACTTATATATTGTGTTGCCAATTTAGAGAAAACAAAAAAAATGTAAGTTCTTATTTTTAAATATCATTGATGGTAGGATGCGAAAAATTTTCCTAATGTAAATTAAACAAATGCTCCAAAGCAGATTTTACTAAAAATCCTGATTCTAAAAAAATATTCAAAAATTATTTTAAGGTTGTATTTTCATTCAATTTCAGAATGCTTAAGTTTAACATAACATATACAATGATAACAATAGCAAGTTTCTTAAGTAGTATTCTAGAAAATATATTTATCCTAGAAACCAAATTTAGAAATTGGGAGAAAAAAATTTAACAATTACAATATTACATTGAACATTTTAGATAAGATTTTCAATAAAGTTAAATGAAAAAAGAGGAAATCTTTATGAGGAATGACTATAAATAAAATGTTTATTTTATCTTCTAAGACTATTAGTAACAGCAGATATAGATAGATTTTTTTTATCTAACGTAATCGCCTTTTTAAAAATGATATTGTTATCACAACGATTAAGAAATATCCATATCATTCTTTTTTTAAAGGAATTTCAGTCTAATTTTACGTTTGCCCTCTTGAAAATGTTAAGAACAATGCATTTTTAATTATCAGTAATGACTCAATTTATCTTAAAGAGGAGATAAAATGATCAAAATTCAATGTTGAAGGAATGCTTTCCGGGGAGAAAGATAACGTTAAGTTAAAATAAAAATCAACTTTTTTTTCATCAACTTTTCATGAGTATATAAAAGTTTATTTATGTTAAAAATTTGCCCAAATTAGTTGATTTACTGTTATTAATAAATTTATGATAAAAAATTATTATTTGAACAAGCAAATTTTTCAAGATATTTGTGTAAGTTTACATTAAGTACTTAAACTACTACTACGAGTGAAAAACTTTAAATTACAATAACTTTTTCCGTTGAATGCTAAATTTAAAAAAATTAACTAGATGTATTTGAGTACATGTCAATAAACTGGAAAATTTTAATCATTTACATATGTAAATTGGCTTTCTTTTAACCATGGGGGTCTCTAAAATGACAAAATTACCTATGCAGAAAATATTAAAACGCGTGATAATTTACTACAATACAATAATAATGCTATAATAACAATACTACAGTAGTCACAATTTGCTATAATACTACAATAATAATTCAATTACATAGCCATTTATGAAAAATTTTTAATTTTTAAAACCGCTTCCAAACAAATCTAAGCTCATAAAATTTTCAATCCGTTTTCGAAATGAAAAATTATTTGAATTAAAATTTGAAAATTATGCATTTTTATATTCATATAAATAGATGCATTTTAAAGTTCTTGTAAAATTACATTTAAACTCACGAATTGAAATTTTCATGATCAAAATATAAGTATCTCCTCACAAACTGTTGAAATTAAAATAAAACTTAATACCGAATATGATATTCCTTTTTATCTAAAAATAACAGGACGTTTAAAAGCATGTAATGATGTTTAGGTTGCCAGGTATACAACTCAGTTCTATTTGAACTTAGCTACGTACAATCGTCTCTCTCATAGTTTGTACTAAAATATGTTGTAAATAGATATGTGTCTTCAGCTATTTAAGAAAAACTTTGTCGCCGCTTCCCTTCGACAAAAGCGTCATCTTTATGAGGAGTATTGGTGGCGGACCTGCCACCTGTTATTTGTAAGAGTCGACACAAATAACAGTTGTTATTTTGATGCATGCCATACATGAACTGCGAAATGAATTTCTTTTAATAATATAACATGTTTTTAACAATTTTGGTGCCAGATTCATTTCGTTTTAGGAAAACTCAGTGGATTGTTTAGAAAAATGCATCTTAAATATTTTACCAAATAACAAATTAAAAATTAGTATTTTATGTAGTGATTATTTAAAGAGGACTTTTTATACTGTTGTGATGACGTTAAAAAAAGCTCAAATTTGTATTGAAATTTTAACATGTAAGTTGATTTTTCGCATGTTTGTAAATTTACACTTGAATCAATGAGGTCAATTGTATAGGGATTAAAGATGTTCTATGTTTTGTATGTTTTTAATAAAGTTGTGTTATTTTTTCTTTTCTTGTTATGGTTTATTAGTTCTTTTTATGCTTTATTTTAAGGGGATAAACAAACATTTTCTTCTCCTTTGGTTTATTTTATATATACAGTGATTTTCGATATTTTACAATAGAGTCACTTTCCAAAGAAATCTCCTTACAACGAACTTCTTTTAATCATAAAATATTAAAGTGGATCGTTAAGTAATATTCCAAATATTCTCTACATAACGAATTGGTTATCTTCCTGAAGCAAATTTTTGAAACTATTATTTTATCTTTTCAGTTTTATCCCTATTTGGAAATGTTCAGACATTTTTCCTTTTATTTTTCGTCATTTTTGAAGAAAATCGTAACTGAAAGTTGAAACTTTTGTTCAACCAGTTGGAGTGGAACATGATCATATGTAATATATCATAGAATGGATCATATGTGTATGTGAACATATGTGATAACATATGTCTGCTTTTGGAACCACTCACATACTCTGTAAAAAATTCCAGACTAAAATTACAGGCATTCAGCGTGCCGGTACTTTTTACCGTAAAATCAATCTTACCGGAACTTCTTACGGAACAAAAAATTTGATATACGTAAATTTTTACAGTAATAATTACCATAAATATTCACTGAATCATTCTAATTAAATAATATTACTGTTAAAATGACAGTGTAATATTTTTCGAAGAAAAAAAATTTACGTTGAAAATGGATTTTACGGATGATGCAACCTGCATTCCGACAATAACGCTTAACAATAGACGATTTTAAACATTAATAAAAATTTAATATATTATGATTTTAATACCCTTTTAATATGCGCTACTTTATTTTTAGTTAACAATCACAATTACTCACTATTGAACATCTAAAAAAACAATTTAATATTTACTTAAACACTTGCACAAATCTCTAACCTCTGTAAAACGAGTTTTTCTTCGCAGCGGGTTATTCAATAAAATCATTTGACTTCATTATAGAGCGAATCAACGGTCTGCATGGAATAACATAATTATCACCCTTATTAGAGTTCGCTAATTAATATTTAGGTGAAAAAAGTGATAAAAATTATAGATAAATCTTACAGTTTGCTAAAGAGAAAATATAAAACTACTACCATAGCATCAAAGAAACTTCTTTAGCGAATATTGTTCTTTAAATTCATAATTTTAATTAATTATGCCTACATGTAATTTTTAAATAAAAATATTATTTAATACCACATATTAACAATAGAAATGGATACCTTTAACTGAAATTGTGGCGTAACTACCACTACAAATATTAAATACCAAATCACTAGTATATAACACATGTTAACTCGATTCCATCAAGAGGTACCTTTTGATAGATGAAGGTTGACATAGTCGATATTAAATCCTCTTAATGGTGATAACTTGCCAACATTGATGGATGGTCAAACAGTTGACTTGCTAAAAATATATACTGCTCAAGGAAAAAAAAATCCGGTGAAGTAAATAAAGTCTCCCGGTCAATAAACAAAAAATGAAAGGAAAAAAAAGTAATGAGCGAAATGCTATAAAAAAAACTTTAAAAAAATGAAAATATAATGAGCAAAATTGATGTAAGTAAATAAAGAGCATGAATCAACTAGCTTTAATCGTTCATCGAATTCTATAACAGATAAAATTCTGGAATGGGAGTAATGTGGAGTAACTACCACTACAAATATCAAATACCAAATCACTAGTATATAAGACATGTTAACTTGATTCCATCAAGAGGTACCTCGTGATAGATGAAGGTTGACACTGTCGATAATTAATTCCCTTCAAAATCATCGAAGGTTAATCATGGCATTTGTCGATTCAGAAGACAATCAGGTTCGACACACATGCGTGACGTCGTTTGCAGGAATTTAATTATATCAGATTTAAATCACATTAGATTTTAATAAGAGTTTCGTGCCATTACACATCACAATTTAATCAAGTTCATCAAAACAATAGGACTGTATTCACTAATTTAAGAAAAAGTGCTATTCTTTTACCTAGTTACTGGCGCAGTATAGCCACTTCTGCCTCTTGTGCCATTAAACTTTAACTAACCAACCAATCGTGCCATTACTGAATGGAAAATATAACCACTTTGAATAGAAAATATAACCTTGCAAGTCTTAATTATCTGCAATCTTGAAATAAATTAAAGAGGCTGTGAATTACTTTTTTAACTATGAAATCCTTTATTTTATTACATTCAATTCATTTTTTTCACTTTTATAATAAATCCTAATTAGAAAATGCATGGTGATATTTTCTTTCTTTTTTTCAATCCTTCTTATTACACTTTTATATAAAAAAAACTCATCCTCTCCTTACCTTAAAAAAATTCAATTACAAAGTTCCACTAAAAAAAATTATTTTTTTCATTTTTAAAAATAAAATATGCACTTTGAAAATAATACAATTAAAAAAAAACTAATAAATTAAGAAAAACACTCATTTCTTAGTTTATTTTGCCTTTAAAGTAAAATTTAAAAACATATAAGATTTCATGCAATGTAAAATTCATAATTTTAAAACTTCGATAATTTTGAAATTCATATGACATAAAAATTCCAATATAAATTTGCAGAGAGTAATATAAGTTTTTATTAATCAAAACTTTAGATAATAGTTTAGCATGAAAGTCAGAATAACATAAATTTGATTTTAAAAAAATTATTTTAAAATTATCGTATCGAACCCTAATTATAAAACTTAAAACTAAAATAAAATTGCATTAATATCAAATATATAATAATGTAAAATTCTAGAAAACTTTAAATTCTAATGATAAATGTAATATTGAAAATACAAACTCTGTAAGGGCTATAAAACTCTATTTATACAAATTCAAAATAGTATACAATTATAATTTTATAAAATTTTTAATGATATTAAAAACTTACTTATGAAAGAAAAATTTTAAATTAAATGCTAAAAACAAGCAAGAAATAGAATTATGTTACATTATAACTCATTTTTTACATTTTCACACATTTCTCTTTTGATTTTGTCATAAATAGAAATAAATAACAAAGAAAGTGCAGCAGTTTCGATTTAGAAGAAATTAGTTCGTAAACTTTCTATTACAGAATACTTATCAGAACACATATCTTCTTTTGTTCTGAGAAACATTAACATAAGAATGAAATTTTTTTGTGTCAAGAATATCTAGAAATATCTGTTGCTAAGAAAATAAAACTCTTGAGAGACATGAGTGTTTCTTTTCTAAATGACTTTGTTTTTAAATAAAGAAAGAAAGTACTCAAATGATAATAACAGGTTAAACTCTCCAAACTGGTGGTCTTATCAAATATTTTATTTTAATTTTTTTATTAGATAAACAATAAACTTTTATGATTGGTTATCAAGGTCACTTTTTGTAGTGATAAAAATAAAAGAGATTTAAAGATAAATTTTAAATCAAATTAAACTGAATAAGAAAAAGCGTGTCTAACAAAACTTCTATTAAATAAATAGTCTTTAAGCATAAAATATTGTCAGTCAAATTTTTCATAAAGAAATGGTTAATGTGGATAAATTGCAACTGGAACCCCAACAAAAATGTAAGTTCGATTTAATTTTAATAAATTTTAAGGACATTAGTTAATTTTTAATAATTTTAAGGACATTAGACATTTGACGTAAAACATTATTAACCTTAACCTTATTTTTATTTGTTGATACGTACATAATTTTTACAACTAGAAGACTCCAGTTGCCAACCGTCGTGATGACCTTTCATTCATTTTTTTTTCTTCAATATGCGATACCTTTCCAAAAAAAAAATTATTATTTTGCTTATAAAATATTTAATTATTATAATTTTATGAAGGAATAGTTTGTTAATATTTTAATTGCAACAAAATGACAGATTGTTTGGATTTGAAAAATTATCAACTGTACTTGAAAAAATAATAATAGGAAGTGTGACAGAGTAAGAATTATTAAAGGATAATGATTTTATTTTTTAACAATATATAACATAACCTTATATTACATAATAGTTCAAATTGACAACAGCTTTAATCTCTCTTGACTCTCTTATATTTTTAAACATTTCGACATAAATGTTAAGCATCACCTAGTTCCTTTTTTTTTTAAATTTATTCTTATTTTTCTTTACTTTTAACATCAAATCAACCTTGAGCTTAAAAAATAAAAATCTTTATTAAACCTTTCTAAAACCGTTTAAAAATAATCATTGTTTGAAGTTCAGATTTCAAGTTTAATTTAAAATTGAAAATGGCCCCTTCAGCACGTCAAATTTCAACTCTATAGTTGCGTTTCAATGGACAGTAGATCGACCAAAATAGTTTTTTGTTACTTCAAGTTTAACAGTTGATAAATCTCAAACACATAATAAAATAATCTAATCTTAAAATATTTTATTCCTTTTACACACCTTCATACTTTCAAGTTTTCAGATTTTGAGCAGCAGAGTAAAATGTAAAAAATCAAAAACAAAAAAAGAAATAAGAAAAATTATCAAAAAAAATGACTTAAAATCGCAATAACTGTTAAACAATTCGGAGTTATTAAAAAAGCTCGTTATGGGATCATAAACAAACATGGCTTTTGCGTTCCTGCAGCCTGCAGAGCTGCTCTCATGGTGTTTTCTTTTCTACAAGTTGAACTAAAAATAATTCGCGAATTTTTTATCGAATCTTTTTTTTTTAATTCTGTACATTATTTTACATGTACAAGTCTAATAGATTTTTTAATATGGAGATAATTTGTTTATATGGCTTTTTTATGTAAATAAATTCCAGCCATTACATGTAAAAAGAAAACACAACGCAAAAAAATTATGCTTTGTCGTATTATTATAAGTAATAACAATTCCCGTATTATTCTTGTAAATCAAATATAGATATCCTAATTAAATACAATAGCTTAAAAAAGAGAAATATGAAAATCTATATATTTAATGTTTCATTATTATGAGCAATAACTATCTTAAAATATTTCTAAACATTAATTCAAATTTCGATTATGAATGAAACATTTCAA